ATTTCCTGGAGGGGGCTAAACACCCTTTTGAGGTATGGACTGATCACAAGAATCTGGAGGCGTTAAAGACCCCTCGGAAGTTATCTCCTAAACAGATGAGATGGGCACAACACTTCAACAGGTTCGACTTTACTTTAAAGTATATCCCAGGGGGGAAGAACTTTATGGCAGATGCTCTATCCAGATTCCCACAATGCAACAGCTCAAAGCTTAGCATGGTTCACCCAGTCATCCTAGCGAAGAGTCTCGCTGCTCCAGTGGTCACCAGAAGCCAGAGCAGCTCTAATTTTGAGGTCACAAAGGACATTGTCGCGATGAATGGTTTAAACAACATTCAAATGAGTATACCATGAAAGACGGTCTACCTTGCATAGGAGCTAAATTGTATGTTTCTGCTGCCATTAGAACTTTGGTTCTACAACGGGCTCATGATTCATGCATGGCAGGCCATCTCATTAAAAGGCAACTTTGGTGGCCGTCATTGAAGAAGGACATTGAGTCTTATGTGGCCAGTTGCCCAACATGTGCTGCTGCGAAACGACCACCTGGAAAACCCGAGGGCCTGCTCCAAGGCGTAGCCCGTCCGGAGGCTCCGTGGAAAGAAATATCTATGGATTTCATTGTTAAATTACCAGAGAGTCAAGAGAATACTGTGATTTGGGTCATTACAGACTTGTTTTCCAAACAGGTTCATTTTGTTCCTTGTTCCAAAATCCCGTCGGCTAAATCCTTGGCTAAATTGTTCATTACACATGTATATCATCTGCATGGTGTACCAGACCGCATTATCTCCGATAGAGGGGTCCAATTCACCTCCTTATTTTGGAAGGAGTTTTTGAAGTTGATTGGCTCCGCCCTTGGGCTAAGCGCCGCCCACCATCCTCAGACTAACGGAGCTTGTGAAAGGACTAATTCTGTTTTGGAACAGTATCTCCGATGTTTCATTAATTATCAGCAAGATAATTGGGTTGAGTTTTTACCTCATGCTGAAGTGGCCTACAACAACTCGGTGCACAGCAGCACGGGTTTTACCCCGTTTAAAATAGTATTTGGCCATGATTTTGTACCTATTCCAGAGGTACCACGAGAAAAGCCACAAGTCCTGTCCCTCTCAGAATGGAGTGACCAACTCCGCAAAATCTGGCCTTTGGCATACCGGGTGCTGGATGCTGCTCATCGAGCACCTAAAAATCAGACCGACAAGAAGAGAACGAAACCAAAGGAATACAAGATTGGAGATCGGGTGTTTTTGTCTACCAAATTTCTCCAAACCACCCAGAAGTCTAAGAAACTGGGTCCTAAATACGTCGGTCCATTTCCTATTGTAAAGATTATTAACCCGACTGGAACTACCTAAGTACCTTAACCGTGTTTACCCAGTGTTTCATGTCAACCTTTTGAAGCTGGAACACACTTCCTCTCTGTGAGTTCCTCTACCTGCACCACCTGCCACTCTTCCATTGAGGGAGAGCAACATTTTGAGATTAAGGAGATTTTAGACTCTAGAAAATGTAGAAATCATATTCAATATCTGGTGTCCTGGAAACATTTTCCCCCCTCCCAAGCTGAATGGGTCGATAAGTCCCACGTGAGGGCTCCTCGACTTTTACGTAAATTCTACTCTACCTACCCCGACAAGCCATGACTCGGATTGACTTTGACATTTCCACCTTGTTCTTGTTCCTGTTTTATGTTGTTTGTGTGTTTGTTTGTTCTTTTGCTGCAGGGATGATTTCTTTTCCTGACGGAGGGCCGGATGTCAGCCTCTGCTTTGCTGCTTGCTTTCAGCTGCCATTGAAATGGGGAGAGGGGCATTGTATCTGGGTGGGGAAGTGTCAGTGCAGCCTGATGATGCTTTTTGAAGATGTCTCCCACATGACACCTGTGGTGTACTGATTGGACTATGGGATGAGGTTTCCAGGGGGAGGGGGTTGGGTCACATATTGATATCTATGATTACATGCGCTTTTGCCTCAGATCTTGCTTTGCCTAGCTACCATCTACTCATGACCAGTAAAAGTACTCTTAATTCTGCAAAATGGAGTTGAGTGGTTTCTTTCTTGGTTACTGAGGGAACCAGTCCTGACAGTTACCTTCCCACCAAATGTGGTTCCTATTTTTCTCCTTGCATTTTTACATGTTTTCGAACTGGTATGTTGTCAGAAGCTGGGACAAGTAATGGGAGCTCACTCTGTTACACGGCGCTAGGGATTCAAAACTGCTGACCTTTCTGATCGACAAGCTCAGGATTTTACCACTGAGCCACTGCGTCCCTCTGGAATGGTAAACTATATTATTATTTTATCCCCCCCCCACTCCAGCCTTGCTATGCAACTTCATCATGGCAGGGGGGCATTCCTAAGATGGATGGGTGAAGAATGCTGGGGGCATATGCCAAGTATATGTACTTCAGAGGGTCAACCAAGTGATGGAAGTAATCTCAGTTCCCAACTAAAGCAAGCATCTATATTGGGTTGGATGATTATTTTAGTGATGATGGCAAAGACATCTTTTCATAACATGTGGGAAAAGACGGTAGTAAGATATTCATGCCTTTATCAAGAAAACCACATGGATAGGCAGTATGACATGATTGATGATATAGCACTGGATGACCAGCCTTCAATCAGATGGTTCTACATTCTACTGAGAAAGAGCTGCGGCTCTTTCAGAGTACTAATGCAGTTTATGTCAGGGGTCTCCAACATTGGCAACTTTAAGCCTGGAGGACCTCAACTCTCAGAATTCCCCAGCCAGCAAAGTGGCTTAAAGTTGCCAAAGTTGAAGACCCCTGGTTTATGTGACTAGATTAAAGTCTTTGGACTGCTAATGCTAATGTTGCCAATAGGGGGGGGGGGACCCTAAAGCTCCAAAGACAGGAGTACAGTGGAGCATAAAATATGATTATGGGAAAGTTGAACACAATGAAAGATGAAATGAATTGAGTAGTATGAAGGCACTGGAGAAGATATTCAAATGCTATGATGCGGTAGTAGTTGTGAAGATCAAAATAATGCAGACGGTGGTTTTCCCTGTGACACTCTCTGGAATTGAAAATTGAAGAAGCTACATAGAAAAAGTACTGCCATCAGCAAATCTGAGACTCCTAGCAATTTTAATTCAAAGCCTTTGAGTCTTGTTTGAAGATCAGCTGACTTTGCATCTATTTATTATGATGGAATGTACATCTACAGGAGCAGTGATGGAGAGTTTTGACAACCCAGAGCTTTCCCAGAAAGAGACCCAGATTAAGAGACTGTGTAGCCCTGAGATAAATTGGGGAGGGTGGAAGAGGTTCTAGAATCTCTCAATATATGTCTAATAGGTTAGAAGGTTATGGCTTTAGTTTGGCAACATTCTGTCCATTATTATAAGCAAATAAAGGACTGGATTTGATTGGAACTCACTATGTCATCTTGAGCCTGGGCTTGAACAAGGTTGGTCCTGAGGTGGGTGTCAAATGTGTCATAAGTTTGGAATTACTATGCTCCCATGAAAGACCCAACTCCATCCGCTTGTGAATTCTGTTGACTTATATAACACCAATTTTCCTTGACCATTAGTAGATCATATTCTTGTGTTTAGGTAGCATGAAATAAACAGTACTTTTGGACTCTATCCCGTCTCTTGGTTTCTTGTGCCAAACAGTGGCAATATACAACCTTGGCACACTCCTTTCCCTCTTCTGAACCTTTTAATTGTTCTCTATTCTATTCAAATTGCTGCTTTCTGGCAATTATACAAATTCTTCAATAGGCAGGTGAGAAAGGGCGGCCATGTTTTTAGAGTTATCCACATTTTTTTGTGCTCTGTGATTATCTTTAGTATAATCAGCAAAAAAAAAAAAACCCAACCCAGATCTCTTTTTGGATGGCAATGCCTTTTCTATTATCGTAAGCTATTAGCCTTGCAATCCTGAGTGCCTTTCACTAGTACCCACCATACAGTCTCATATCTTCATTCTCCTAGGAAATGAGTAAACAGGCAAGTTTCAGTCCCAGTACCTCAAAGGGTCCCCCTTCCCCCAGCCAACCATGCAGGACGCTTCTAAAATTCACTTGGACTCTAAAATAACTCTTAGTCGAGCATCTTTCCCTCAGTTAGGAACTGCACAGAGGCAGGGTAATGACCACTAGATCACCTGGGGCCCAAAATATCCTTGTCTTTACCCCCAATCTACTTTTATCTCTGCAGTGCATGCTAGAACTCCCGTGTGATGTCTCTCCAGTCTGAAACCAAATGCTTTGAAGCAATGTAAATATGTGCTCAGGCCACTTCCAGACACTTTAAAGTGTGTATCTGTTTCTACCGCCTACTAGGATATCTGTAAATATTAGGAAGAATCAATGAAAGATATGGACTCATGATTTGTAAACAATCCCCCCCCCCTACAATCTAATCTGTTATCTTTTGGAAGATTTCCAGCGGTTGAGTTCCACCCACACAAACTCCCTTTTGTGTTGCCTCAGAAACCGAAACTAATGTGATTCCAGTATTGAGAAACCAAACAGGAAGTTAAGACAGATTGCCATATTTGGGCTGCACAGGGATGGAGTCACACGTTCAAACTAAAAATATAGTGATATAGAGTTGCCTTCTATTTTTGGATTGGCTCAATCCCTACCTTCTACACTTTAAAGATATTAAATATAATCCTCCATTCTTGGCAGTCGGCAAGGAAGCATTTGGTTTCCTCCCTGTTAAAACTTCAGAACAGTAGCTATATGGTTTACAAGAATATTTTTACAATTGGGTATCAGCTTTAAAGAGGATAGGGAACAGAAAGACAAAGCCATTATCCTGAATTATTTCTCTCTTTAGTTCTACCCCCTCAAAAAAATTATGAAATCTGGAAACATGCACACTACTGCATAATAAATTACATTATAATTTTCTTTTCTATAGTAGAATGTAAAATATAAAACAAAACAGAATTTGAATAAACTGGCAAAAGGCTAGACAGAGCCCTGATGTTTATGCAGGAGAAAGATCTGAGGGACGTCACAATAAATATGCACAAGTTTAAAGGGAAAATCAAGTACTTTGAGCCTGCAGTTTATATTCCCCAAATGAATGGGGAATCCTCATCCTATGGGCCTAATCTGATTAAACAAGAGGTGGAAGTCAAGGCTATTCATTTGCTGGTCTTGGTCCACTGCATCTTTCACATGGGCTGCCATAGATGATTGCAATGCTCCTACAGAGATACAAGTAAGATCCTCTCTTGCTCAGCCATATTTAAGTAGTGCCATCCCTTCCAAGAGGGAAAAGCACACATAAGGCGAGCCCAACTTCTGCTCAAGTACCCATTCATTCCTTTTTTAGATCTTGGCTAGCTTTTGTTCTTTCAAAATAAGAATCGTGGAGATAGGCTGCACAGAGAGGAAAATGTTTCACTGAAATCACACGAATCTTCAAAAACATGGCACCCGCTGTGTACGCCTGGGTCTTTTCCCACAGTTGAGTTGCTATCCAGGTATTCCTGAAATTGCAAAAACTACCAACATGATATTTGCTTCCCCCTGCTGATCCCTCCCCTTTTTCTATCACCTCTGCTTCATGTTATTGCAGTCTCCAGATTTTCCTTCAAGATAATGGGGGACAAGACCGAACAGATACTATGCTTTAAGTTGCCTCCAATAGTGTCAGAGTAAGAAAAAGTGTATGGGATCATTGGTGTTCTCTTTTCTTGCAGGTGTCTCATTGCTCAACTAGTCAACATCTTCAATTGAGTAATGAAAAATCTGCAAGAAAACAGTCAAGCTCAGAGAGCACCAAGGACTTTACAGTTCAACGCTGAGCTACGAATAGAATAGAATAGAATAGCATAGAATAGAATAGAATAGAATAGATTGGCCAAGTGTGATTGGACACACAAAGAATTTGTCCTTGGTACATACGCTCTCAGTGTACATAAAAAAAAATAGAATACATTCATCAAGAATCATAAGATACAACACTTAGTAATAGTTATAGGTTATTAATAAGCAATCAAATTATATTAGGAAACAAATAAAACAATAAAAATTGTAAAGATACAAGCAACATGGTTATAGTCATAAGTGGGAAAAGATAGGTACTAGGAAGGAAGAGAAGAATAAGAGTAATATAGTCTTAGTAGGTATATGACAGTGTTGAGGGAATTATTTGTTTAGCAGAGTGATGGCATTCAGGAAAAAAACTGTTGTTGTATCTTGTTGTTCTGGTGTGCAGTGCCCTATAGCATCGTTTTGAGGGCAGAAGTTGAAACAATTTATGTCTAGAATGTGAGGTGTCTGTAGATATTTTCACAGCCCTCTTTTGTCTTGTGCAGTATAAAGGTCT